GAGTGGTGGATTGGTCGATGAACTATGCCAAGTTGCTTTTTTAATGAATTGCAGTGATTTTTTTGTTAATATCAATTGAGTTGCACCTTCTTGGCAGAATTTCCAGAGTAGAGGATGTACGTACCCAATGACCGATTGCTGTGAGCACATGTGCTTTTTGCACTGAATGCCTGCAGCCGTAACACTTTGATGTTGATTTTGTATGCATTGAGAATGGATAGTATTGTGGGTGCTTTTGCTTTTACGTATAACATCACCAATATTTCAAGTGGCAAATAGGAGCTCTAGACACTTCTGAGCCTTTACAACACAGGCAACGTCATCTTTTCGGATAACCTTGACAGAAACCGATAACCATACATTTAATAATCTCAGCTCATCATACCTCTTGGTTTTTAGTTTTTGGAGCAGTGTTCTAGCAGTCTTGTTGTCCCACAGTGTTTTTATCACATGCTTGTACTGTGAAGCACCGAGGAACTTTCTAGTGTTTTTCCAGCCTTAGCATGGGTCACCTAAAGTATAAGTAACAGATTATGAACATTTCCACAGTTGTATTATAAAGGACACTAACTTTAATAATACTGTTTGGTGAAGAAAGTGCAACACTTGTATGTGTCGGTGTGCACTGTTCCTCTTGTACAACTGGCAGGTAACTGCTACCTGTGCCGCTGCTATGGTAGACAGGCCGCAAGTTTTATTGCCTGAAGCTGTTTGTTGTTTTTTAAAAACGTGTCTTTATACTCAATAAGCGAATGAGGCTAAAATCTAACTTCCCTCCTAACTACTAAAAATTTTCTAGGTGCCTTGGGTAATGCGTTTTGTACACATTGCTTTCTTTCAAGAATCAATCTTGCTGCAACAGTGTAGGTGCTCTATATGCCATAGACCATGGTACCGCTTTTTAATGCTACGTTTTAACTCCATACTAACTTCTTTAGTAGCAGAGGCAAAAAACTTATCTTTAAGGATGTGCCAACATGGCGGAGGCTATCCCATTTCTCTGCTCTATAACATCTGAGTAGACGGATATGCAATTCTCAATGGAGCCGATTCAGCATTATATCAACGTCATAATGTTCTGTGTTGTTTGGTACCACCCTCTGCCTAGACTGCAGAGTGTAGTACTAGTGGGTTCGAATACCTTCCAGGGGAGCTTTTTTCCTGGAATTGTCCTTAGTTACTTGGGAACTCCGTTCACACATACAATCATTATGCTACCGTCATTGATTGGTATGGTACATTACCACTGATGCAAATGAGCTGAGTGTTTTATTCGATTAAAACCAGCGACATTAGTTTTGTGGTTTTGAGACTCGTAACCAAAACAGAATTCCTTGAAACTCTTCAAAAGCAGAGACTCAAGACCATTTTTTTCTGAGGTAATTATTTATAGAATGTTCCAACTTATTGGGGTAAGCCTTAGCGAGTAGGCAGCATATTAGAGCCTGTGCATACTACGAGAGTGTGTCAGCACAGTTAATTGAGTTTGCCTTTGCCTTGTGTTTTATGTGTTTTGAGCCCCTTCCTGCTGAGCAGCCCTGGTAGCACACTCTGCCCTGGCTTCATAATCCAGTGGGTTCGATTCTAACCCCATGCTGCTTTTTTCCTAGGAAAAATTAAGTTGCCTTGGTTATGGTTTACATATTTGCTTTTCCCTCGCCTTGGAACGTTGTTGAATGTATGTGTGAATGTGTGTACGTATGGCAGTTGTTCCAAGAAATTTTACTAGTTTGCGCATCGAGACAGTCAGCTGCACTTTGCCAATGCATACAACAAGGGTTTACTGCACCATTACTTGAGGTTGCCTTTGCCTTGGGTTGTAATGTGTTTTGAGCTCCCTTCCTAAATGTGCAAAATTGTGAGTCTGCAGCTATTTTCGCACAACGGGTTATGATGCGGCATATAAGCGATACCAACAGCTTCAGAACTCTGTGAGCCACAAAAACTAAACTGCCGATTTTCCTGAAACCGCTGCGTTCAGGAGATATGCTATTACCTTAACCTGATCTGCTTGCTCTGTGTGTTGGATGCACAGGGTGTTATATACATATAACGAAGGGAGTGTATTGACTCCCGCATGATATATACTTGTGTAGCTAGCTGGTGTGGGACTCCATGAGCTAGTAGGGCAGGTGACCACGAGTAAACACATACTCATAGACCAGCCCATCAATTACCGGTACTGCGCATGCGCAATGCACCGAGAGTTTGAACTTTAGTGCTTTTCATTTGATGTATTCCTCACCTTGTCTACAGGTGTTAACCGTTATAACTCCGCACCATCTCTTCTGTTACCTGACGTTAAGGATATTATCTTAATAATCATTACATCTGTTCGCACACAGCAAAGGATGTTTGCTCAATTGCCACTTGGGTCTTATGCTGTTCTAGACAGTAAGTTGTAAGTTTAGTTTGTGTTTGTGTTTGTATAGCTTTTCTGTGTGTGTAAACAATGAGGGTGCAGGGCAAAGGCAAAGAAAGCCACACAACTACACCTAGGACAAATCTGTTAGTGCTTGGTGCAAAAAATGTTTGCAAGCGACAATATAACTGTGCATAAAGCACGATAATAATAGGCCAGTATTTTCCCCTTGTTTTCGTGATACATCTATTTGAGTGCACTCATTTGGGGGAAATCGCCTTTCAATACAAGATTCTCTTCCGCAATCTGAATTTACCAACTCTATCTTTTGGTGGTTTTATAATCCATGAGGATGACGTGAGGTAGTATGGAAAACGTATAGCTGCATGAAAGCTACAGCATCTCCCTGGTATTTTTATGGTTCAAGTTGAAGATTAACTACGTCTGCTTACATAGAGAGTGTGGTACAGCATTATTTGTGGTAGGGAATCATACAAGTACAGGGAACTCACACCAATGCACATTCCACTTGAGAATCAGCTATGTACTTTGTAGCAAAATGAGCTTGCCTCATCGCCCAAAGGCCCTTTACCTCAATGTGTTCTGTCGCCCTACACATCACATGATATATAATTAGGAACATTGTCAAGAGATACTTCAACACAAAGCAAAACCTGTGATTACCCTCATAATCACCATACTCACCGACACAAAATATACCAAATGCATATATGCTTTTTACTCAATCATAAAACATTTAAATTGTAGACACCCCGCTTCATTTGAGAGCGGGCTAAAGCTGATTTTGTAACCTACTCCAACCACTAGAATCAGCATTTTTACTACACACACGCCCCCTGGATGTTGTGGTATACTCGTCTGTGTGTCACGCATTTGTAAAATGTCCAGCTAGCTATGTACCTTACAGTGTTAGCCAACAGCTCATAGGCGTTTTCAACTAGTACATATGTTGACTAAAGAGGACGTACACCTCAAGTATCTGCTTAGCTTCTCAGGAGATGCATTGGGATGGTAGCCTCTGCTACGTAAGTCCAGCTCCATGGACTTACTATCTCATGGCATAAGGAGGCTCAATCGTTGTGGAGTAACCCACCAATTGTCGGCACCCTCACATTATCGGAGAGCCATTGGGATGTAATGGGAAGAGATGTGCCAGTGTTTGTTGCAGCGGTTTTAGCCCAAGCTATAAAACCAAGAAGTATCGTGCCCGATGGTCCGATAATAATTATCAAATATCAGACACACCGCTCACGTTTGAGAGTGCAGCAAGTTAATCAAGTTGAAAAAGGTCTAGCAAATAGAGAGCTCTAGCAGCTAGCACAGGTTGCGCAAACGGACTTAAATGTCAAAAGGCCTTACCTAGGGTGTAGAATAGCTATGTGCAGGCGTACAGCCAAAAATCAAGGAACATGCTAAACACATATTGTCAATACCCACCTTTTATTTCTCATTTGTCGAGGCGGCCCAATTTAGCTGCCTCTGCTGCAAGTGCCGGTGGATTCCTAGGACCCTAGTTAGGCTTTTGGATTGCTTTACTGGGGGGAAAATCAAATTTACCTTCTCTACATGCCTGCATTTAACATTAAAAGTTGTGCCGTAATGTGTGCACGGTCACATAGTATTAAGTGTTAATGTTAAACAACTGTGTTCGTGGCTTTCATGTACTATTTCAGTGTATATAGAGCAAAGAGAGGCAAACTGATAGTTTTGTGGTTGTAAAACGGTTGTTAAGTTGGATTTGCAGGCATAGTCCCCCAGGAAAGTGCTCACCCAGGAATCTCAACCATTTTTTTGAGATTCGGCAGTGTCCCTCCTTCACCCCTGATGATTGTGCTCTCTAAGTGGGGATTTTAAATGTTGCATGGTTAGTTGGTACCTAGCCTATGAGTGCATTGTCATATATTGTCCTTGTATACTCTTGGAAAACAAGCTATGGCTCCTGTGGTACAACTTACAGTTTATATGAAAACAAAATGGAACAAATACCAACTTCTGCAGTGTTTACAATGTTGTGTTTGCTGCATAGATCAGTGCTCTGCTTTCAAACTGGATAATCTTCTGAAAGATATGAAGTACGTAAGTATTGTATGACAGCATGCTTGTGACAGTAATTAACCCTTGGCGCGTATGCGCAGCAAGGGTTACGATACTTGGTCCGTTAGTGTGTCTGTCTGTCTGTCTGTCGGTTACTCCATTTTTTGCCACCACGCCCAACGAGACAGAAGAACAATACCAAAAGGTTGAGTGCTACACTGGCTTGGTTTTAATTGTGGCTATTTTTGTAGAAGTACTGCGCTTGAGAATTATTTCGCGAAAACAAAGTGAAAAAGCCATTTTGCAAATTAGCACTGGCTTATGGTCCGCTTGCTCTGTGTATCTTGAAGGCACAAGAAGTCACAATGAAGGGCATGTATCGACTCCCGCATGCTATCTACTACTGTCACTAGCCCATGTCAGACCCTCCGCGAGCTATGTACTAGCGGGAGACCATAAACGCATACTAATAGCCCAGCCCCTGAATTAATCTGTACCGCGAATGCGCAGTTCGCTGAGGGTTTGCACTTTGGTGCTTTCATTTGATGTCTAGTAATATGACAACTCATGGTTATTATACGTGTGTCAATTTAACTGATAAATATTAACAGGTATGTAAAAAGGAAGAAATACAATGCGTTATACTGACGTGCGCACATTTGTATGTGCCAGGGGTTTACGCTTTAGTGTTTTCAGTTATGAAGTATTCTTATTTTTATAGTGCATATTATGGCACAAAGGTTTTCGAGGAAGATTGTCACTTTGTTTCTGATGGGGAGGTTGTTGCAGCTTATAAAGATAATTACTGGTTCAGAGCAAAAATTATCAAGTGCTCAAAGGAAAATGTGATGGTAAGAACTCAGTTTTTTTGGTAATTTACTTTGCTTCATTTCACAAACGTTTAAATCTATGTACAAAAAATATCTCCACGTAGTCAAAGAAACACTTCATATAGGTTTGCTGCCTCTTCCTCGGTGGCTCAAGAAGTCACAATGACGGCTGTTTATCTACTCCTGCATCCTATCTACCAGTGTAGCATGGCGTGTCAGACTCTCTGCAATTTACTAGCTAGAACAACACGTACTGATAACCGAGCCCCGAGGAGGTTGGACACGGTTTCATTTTCGTCTGACAAAATCGTGCAGCATGGAATGTAATTAGGCGTGTTCTCCCTTAGTGTGCTGCTTTTATATGCGAGAAGAGAGCTTTTATGGACATTAACAGTGATTTAACAGTAGAAAGTCAACAGTGTGTGCCATTTATAGCTTTTTATGCTTACATATTTACCTTCGTACATAGCCTACAATATCTTTAGTTTGCTCCAGCTCTCTTGCAAATTGCTGTGTAGACACCGTCATAGGTTCATCTCAAGTAGGAGACCATGACTAAATAGAGCTGCTTGCACAACTACTGTCATGGTATATTCTTGCATAGAGGTTCTAGTGACATGGAAGGAGACGGATCATCGGGGCGTGATCTCTCAGATGAAACCTTCGACCAATACCAACATGTTCTGAGAGATGCAGTGGTATCTCTTCGGGGCACAAAATCACCTCTCTTTCTCCGTTAAGAATGTAACGCACAGAAAGATGTATAATAACACGTTGGATCATGTTATCGTATCCAAACTCTTCTTGCCAACTAATTAGCACTACCGCACATGTGCAGTGCGCCAAGGTTTACACTCTTAGTGCTTTTTATTAACCCTCGGCGCGCAGGGTTACTTGGTCTGTCCGTTTGTCTGTCCGTCTGTTACCACGTTTTCAGCCACCACGCGCAACAAACAGGTAAAATAGCGACACCAACGGGTTCCTTCATTTTGAAAATGGTGATTTTCGTGAAAGTGGCACATTCAGGCGTGAAAACCAAGTTAACAAGCCAATATGCAAATTAGCACAGGCTTACCTCGACCGGGTCCGCTTGCTCTGGGTACCTTGGAGGCACATGAAGTGACAACAAAGCTAGACAATGTAGCTAGCCCGTGTCAGACTCTCCACGAGCTACTCTAGCAGGAGACCACGAGTAAACGCATACTAATAGCCAAGCCCATCAATTAAGGGTATCGCCCATGCGCAGTTCACCGTGGGTTTGCACTTCAGTGCTTTTCATTCTCAAGGCAACGCAGCTTAGCTCTTTGGTTATGCAGGTCGAATAACGCCCATCAACAGACTGTGCATTGTAAAGGTGTAGGTAACTAGCCTTATTTCCAGGAGGGTTTTGCTACTATGTCAGCTATAGCCACTAGACAGATGCAGCGTTATGAAGAATCCAAATTCCGCACACGTTATCCCTTGTTTCTAGCATTGTAGAAACTCCCTTTACATCCATGCCACAAGGCATAGTCACCATGGCTCTAACAGCATCAGAGCCATGTAATAGTTACGATAATGTGAACTTAAGGGGAAAAACAACACATTTTTCTCAGCTACCATTATTTTAAGTTATGCTCCACATTTATTTGTCTTCATAGGTTTTCACGGTTGACTTTGGAGATATTTTTCTTGTTCATTCATCTGATATAAGAATAATTCAAGAAGAGTTTTTAATCTTACCATTTCAAGCAATTGAATGCTTCATTCAAGAAACTTTGAGTAATGTTGACAGTAAAAGGTAATAAAAAGATAGTATGTCATTATTCTGTAATTAATTGCATATAACCTTAGCGTGCGTGCACAGCAAGGGTTACAGTACCTTATCTGTGTTTTTGTCTCTCTGTAAGCTAGTGGCAACCAAATGGCTTCAGAGCAATGTAGGGCATGGATGTTAATATAACGAATTTCCTGAAACCGCTGCATTCGAGAGTTATGGTAGTTATATGCTAATCACCAATTACTTTATATGCTGTTTCGCCATTTTATCTCTTAACAAGCCGCGGACACATTAATGTGTACAGAGATTCCATAAGTTTATATTAACCCTTGGCGCGCATGCGCAGCGATGGTTGGTTCGTAAGTGTGTCCGTCTGTCTGTCTGTCTGTTACCACGTTTTCTGCGACTACACACAACCAGAAAACCAAACAGCAATACCAACGCTACACTGGTTTCATTTTTTAAAAGGCGATTTCGTGTAACTACTCCTTTCAAAAGTTATGGCGTGAAAAGCAAGTGAACAAGCCAATATGCACATTAGCGCAGGCTTACCTCAACCGTGACAGTTTGCTCTGTGCATGTTGAAGGCACTATAAGTCACAACGAAGGGCCTGTATCGACTTCCGTATGCTATCTACTGCTGTAGTTCGTCCGTTTCAAACTCTCCGCCAGCTATACTAGCGGGAGACCACGAGTAAACGCATACTAAATGTCCAGCCCATCAATTAGTGGTACCGCGCATACTTTCTTGTCCACTCCAGCGTCTACTGACTGATGGTAGCCAGTGTTTGAGAGAGAAGCAGACCTTGTCCGTGACCATGTGGCCATCTCATACTGATGTTTTGCTCATTGTAGTGCATGCCCAGGCTAAGCTGTTGCTATACCGTAATACAGCGTGAGCATCTTAAGCCGATGCTTTGCACTTATAAAGTGTATCTCGTAATGTTTCAACACTTGCCAGCTAACCACTCATGTGAAGGGAGTTAGTCAGCAATTTCATATAAGCTGATTTTCTAACCCTCACTCTAATTAGTTTGTCGTGTCTCTGGACCTCAAGCAGGCATAATTTAGAAAGATCTTGTGGGTGGGCATCGCATCCTGAGCAGTATGATTTACACTGTGTGTCGCAGCATACACGGGCCACTAGTTTCTCACACCAACTAACACTTGTTGTTGCCAGCCAAGGGCTTTGCTTCTGGTACATGAGTGATGCCTGCATCAGTCACAACATGAAAATTTCCCTGTCCTCCCTTCCTTATCTTAAGTTAGCCGTGAACACTGCTGAAACTACCTAGTGGTCTCTACAAGCTAGTTTAAGTTTAATAAATCAGATACCAAGTAACTTGCGAGTCAACTGACGAGTCCCGTCCACCAGTCTAGTCCAGTTATTGTAGATGCCCTTTTACACTCGAATTAGAAGTTCCCCCCCAAATCCCACAATCTTATCTGCAGTGCCACAGCACATGAGCATAACACAGGAGCCGACGCTCTCACCTCTAATTAGCAGATGATCAACAGGGTCTCTATATTAATTTGATGGTTCTATCATGGTAATCTACAAAAATATGATGGAAACCTGGACATGAAGTGGTCTTAAAGAATATTGCTTCGTAAAACCCAGCCCTCACACTCCATAATCATCTGTATTGCCCAGCACAGTGCCCGACCCTTTCTGTCTCAGTATAAATTATAGTATTAAGTAACATATATTGTTGTTTCGTGGCAAAGTTGTGTTAATACATCCATAAGTTATTTACCTGTGGGCCTAGCATGACTAGGCTGTCATATATACCTCTTATGCCCATAGACTGTACATCCAGTTTAGGATTATAGGTGCTGCATTTGGATTACAAGTAAATTAAAAATCCTCCGAATTTAAAAAAGAGGCATATAGGGATGCTATAAAAGGAAAGGGAATGGGATGGTTATTTGATCACGCAGACACCCCTGACCCCATCACACAATCCCTTTATTGTTGCCTAGTGCGCAACTCGTAAACTCCATTTGGATGGACCCTTGGGTACTCAGCAGGACTTTTTTGTATCTTAAAGCAATAGTCCTGACTATTGTAATGTTGAATGTTTAATACTTCACCTAGGCAACAATAATATAGGGATTGTGTGATGGGGTCAGGGGTGTAAGCATGCTAAAATCACCATGTATTATGTATTCCATCCCTATCTTGTCTCCATTTCCTATATACCTTTTTTAAATTCTTAGGATTTTAATTTACTCGTCGCTTATAGATGTTGTGA